TTTTTTAGAAACAGCTTTGCTGTGCAGACACAGGAATATGTCTAACAGCATGAATCTTTGACCCTTTCCTTCCTGATGTTCTATTTAGTGATGCTGGTTTCTTGCGATGTGTGGCTGTCGCTTTTGACAAGGAAGTATCCCGAGGATCAAAAGAGTGAGACAAACCTTATCATCTACGCTTCTTTTGTCGGGGCATCTTTCATATTTCTCATCATTCGGGCTTTTGGCTTCTTTATGGCATCATTGCGATGTTCTGAGCGACTTCATGATAATATGGTGGCTGCTGTTCTGCAAGCACCAGTCGTTTTCTTCGATTTAAATTCAGTGGGAAGAATTATGAATCGGTTCTCTAAAGATATTGGCTGCATGGATGAAGTACTACCCAAAAAGTTTCTGAGAGCGGTACAGAGGACCTTGTTGATGTTCACCTCGATTCTTCTGCCAACCGTCATAAACCCTTGGCTTCTATTTGTTGTTGTGCCAATAGCCATAATAGCGGGACTTATCTCCAGATATTACTTAAAGACATCTAGGGAACTACAAAGGTTGGAATCAGTTAGTCGCAGTCCCGTCTATTCTCACTTTTCTGAGACTCTGGATGGACTGGACACAATTCGAACTAGAAAAAAGGAAGAAGATTTCTTGGATGAGTTTTGCAGGTATTATTTATTTGTTCATTATTTGTTGAATAGTCTTATTTTGTAATCTGAATAGCTCAAGACTGAAATAAAAACCTGGATGAATATTAGGCACTGAAAATAGAAGAAAACGTATTCAATTATGTAGGAAAGCAGCCTCTCACTCAGACGTTCTTTTGGCTCGTCACGCAATCCTTCCCAACGAACGTTCGTGGGGCAGGAAAGCGTGAGAAACCTCTAAGAACGTCTGTGTGGGAGGCTGGTAGGAAAGCCAACTGGTTCAAAAAATTATTTCCGATAAAGCGTTTCCTATGGGATTGATGTCTATACTATATTAACAAGTAGCGAAGTGGCACCAGCGGAAAAACATGGAAAAGGGCATAAACGTAGTAAAGCCGCCTTGAGACGTTCACGCGGGATACGTTGGTGTATGTAAAGACTATTTGAATGAAGTTAGACAGTTGACTACATGGGTTGGGATTTCCAGACACGGATGCAACTGAAGTGCAATGTTGTCTTAAATGAGCCAAACAGGTTCTCGAACTAATATCATATCTGTCTGAACAGCACAGTTTTCTAATTATAGGTACACCTCAAATATTTTTTGAAAGAAAAAAAAACTCATAACGGTCAATACAGTTTAAAAGAGTTCTTGAAAATGGCAAATTTATTAAAAGTTCACTTGAAAAAATGAAAAAGCACTGAGAATAAAACTTTGAATGAATTTTGATGAAAAAAAAAGAGTAACGGAATTCAATTTACGGTAGTTTATAGCGGAGCCCCATCCGAGAAAATTTGGTAATCACGTGACCGTACACCGAGCGAGGCGAGCGACCGTCCGTCTGCAAAACATGCATACCAATGTAAAATAACTCAATCAACAGGTATGGCAACCCAAATGCAATCCAAGGTTTTATTTGGAAAGAAATCACATGGCCGCCCGGACTTTTAGAAAGAAAAAACAACAACAAAGTCGTGTCTTTTTCGGCGTTATTTTTTACGTTTACACTGACGTGGACAACAGAGAAACAGCTAGAGCGAGTTATTGAAAACAAACGAGACGAATTTCATAGGAAGAAAAACTTGGAAACTCAAAGCGGCGGTGAGAAAATGAGAAATGCTAGCGGCCAGCATGCAAGGCGAAAATGAACGGCAGTGAAATATAAAAGCGACCATGTACACAGGAAACAAAATATTGGGTAAGCACATACGACAATTCTTCCTTAAAAATAATGTGTATTAAACTAGGACGTTTGACGTTTTAGTCGTACAAAACAGCGTTGTAATCGTGCAAAACAACGGCAAGGGAAAGACAAAAAACGTGCTGCACGTGCAAATTTGTTTTTTGCTAGTTAGAAGAAAAAGTGTGCTGCACGTGCAATTTGTTTTTTTGCTAATTAGATCAATTAGTCTTGAAGCCATTTTTATTGTCGTCCCCGTTTAGCATTACACGATTTAATTTTTTTTGTTTACACGTATTACTAACCAGAGCTTCGCTTTTAGCCCTGGCTAAATCTATACATTATCAATAAAATTTATGAAACTAAGAAGCACCTAATCAGGAAGTTTTAAAAGCTTTTACACCGGCAATACGGGTTGATACTCTTAACCGGCCCTCAATTTAACGAACATAGACAACAGATATACTAAGATGATCGTTTAAAGTAGTTTTAACTCTGTAATCGAGTCATAGACCTAGACTTGCCACAACTCTATTTCAATGCCTTGGAGGACATAGAGGAGCACTCTTGCAAATTGCTGTATTAACCCACGTGGTGTGCTATTTAGCGATTTCTTAATGTTATTTTTACCTTACCTAGTAATATTTAGCCCAGTTTTTTCAAAACATAGTCGGTAGTGCGCATTTTATATCTAGTCCGTGTTTTATACGCAGTCCGAAGTCCGTAGTCCGCAGTCGGTAATGCACAGTCAAAGTCCTCCTCTTCTCTACCGCATGACCGTACTGAAATCAGTTTGTGAATTCAAGAGAATCATCGTTGCGGTGTGAAAATTGCTTCAATGTTTATTGCATATTTAAATAGTATTTCGCAACGAGTCGTCTCTTCCTTCGGTAAGTTTACAAGTGAGCTCACTGGTTCCATTATAAATAAACTCGTTGGTCAGTTTGATTTGTTATGGTGAACCTGTCGATTCGAAAACTGTGAACTCGTTGCTTAGGTTACAAAATAAATCCGGTGCAGCTATTTATGGCTTAAAACACAATTTCAAAACATAGCAACATAACAAACCAATTATCCAGTCAAAATTACTCACACCGGCTTCCTATTCTATCGATTTGCCCCGGGCGATTTGCACTTTGCCTTTCTAGAATCTACGCAGTATCTTTAGTTTGTGTTCGACCCAACCTGACTTGCATGTGATTTGAAGTTTATGCTGATAAAATCGCACAATTTTTCGAAACGGTCATGGGATACGGGAAAGTTAAAAAACATGCCAATTTGTGACTACGATGAAAACGAAATTCGACCGAATTTTAGACGCTGGCTGACTACGTCATCCCGCGTAATTAAGTGGCTCAGATATTCGAAGGTGGCCTACTCGATCGGTATTGGGAGTTAGGTGCCAAAAGTGGAGTGATCTGAAACTAAGATATAACGAGCCTTCTTTCATGTACAATGAAATCCCCGAATGACTTAACATTCTTGGACCCTGTTGGAGTAAAACTTAGTCTACTGGATCCGATATGATATTCTCCTGTCATGACGGCCGATCCCTGCCATCTCTTTGTCGGAATTTTGTTATATCGGGATTTAGTATATACTAAAACAGTGGATAGTGTTTTCCGCGCGCTCTGATTGGCTACTCAATCAGTGAATACCCTGCACTATTCACTGATTCACCTCCAGTTCCTCCGAGCGAGCGACGCCAAACTCGCGTAAGTTGCGAGCAAAATGGCTTCCTGGTTTGCTGCCTTAAACAAACAAAGAAATTGCACAACTAATCAAGCAAGCTGTTTCCGAAATACACGAAGAAGGTGACGAAGTTCGGATTGGAAGTTTTAACAGGTAAAGCTTTGTCTTTTTGACACGAATTTATCGATAAAACCGGTGAAAAAGTTTTTGTTTACAAATGCAAATTAAGTTTTTAAGCCTTGCTTGCTTTATTTAGTTGAGTTGTTCATAAAAAAGCTTAAAACTAAATTTAATAATCTTTTTTTATAGAATGATTTTAAATGCAAAAAGAATTCACAACTCCTTTTGAAGAAATTTCCCCGCAAGAGCTAAACAAATGCCTTCAAAAGTTTTAATTGTCGGCAAGAAAAAGCGACGGCCGCAGCCGCCCGGTCATTACGTGAGTTAAAAATCGTCATTTTTGTGCTCAATTATCTCACTGTTTTAGTATATACTAAAACAATTATTCACCTCAGTGTCGGTGGCAAGTCGTGGATATTTACCTCACTGCTTCGCAGTTCGGTAAATATCCAGGAATAGCCACCTCCACTTCGGTGAATAATTGTTATTTATCCGTACTTTTATTCAATTACAACCCCGTTGGTAAGGCAAGATGCTTTGAAAAGTAAGTTCTTTCTTGTATAGGAAGGTATTTTCGAGACTTTTACCCATTGGTCCTCTATGTACGTCTGCAACGCTCACAACAAATTCGGCTCCAAGACTCTGCCTAAGATACAAAAGATTGCTTTCAATAAGTTGGCACAACTGACATCCAGCGAGTAACGTAGTGGCAAAGTTTATGCCTCATCGACTGTTGAAATGCTGGATAGAAAATGTTACATTGCCTAAGATCCGAGAAAGATACAACTTTAATAGCTACATCGGCTTGTTATTCTTTTTAGGTATCAAGATATTCATACTCAGGCATACATTTTGGTTTTTGCCACTCAACGTTGGCTTGGTGTACGCTTGGATTGTCTCTCTGCTGTTTTGACGGGTGCAGCGGCTCTTGCGGCAGTTTTTGTGTCCCAAGATGCTGGTAAATGTATATAGTTGTAAATGTTATCAGAAATGTAAAATAATAATTAAATGTTAATACGTTTTAGGACACCTGCGTAATTTAAAACGACTGACGTTTCTTGAACGAATGGTTAGGTTGCCAAGTTATATTTACTTTCGTTGGGGCAGGTACAAGATGAGGTGAGGTGAGACAATATGAATTTTGTTCCAGTTTGTAAAAGCAACCAAATTCTCAAGTTCTCGGACGTGCTGGAGCGCCAGGGAGACCTTCGGCAATAATAATAACAGGTCAAATTTCTCCAGTCTTGATAATTTGAAAGAAGATTTTTACTTACCTTACATAATGTCCAAAAAACTAAAAAATAATTGTATTTTGTATTTTACGAACCATGGCTTATTATCCGTGTTTCCCTTCGTTTTTGTTTCAGTTTTTGCAGGCCTTGGATTGGTTTACGTTGTCCAAAGCGTGTCGATGACTCAATCCGCATTTAAAAAATCAGTCGTGGTCGAAACTCTGATGACATCAGTTGAGCGAGTAATGACGTACACCGAACTTGAATCTGAACCTGGATACAAAGTGGAACAAAATCCCCCGAAAAACTGGCCAAATGAGGGAAATATCGTATTTAAAGACGTATCCTTGAGGTACTATCCGGGTGGTCCTCAAAGTTTAAAGAATATTACACTTAAAATCAATGGAGGAGCTAAGATCGGAATTGCAGGCCGAACGGGTGCAGGAAAATCTTCTTTCGTGGCGGCACTAATGCGCATGCCTGAAGCCGACGGAGATATCTTGATTGACAATGTTAATATAAGTAGCATCAACCTCCAAGAATCTCGACGGGGAATAACCGTTCTCGGTCAAAATCCTGCCCTTTTTAGTGGATCGTTGAGGCAAAATCTTGATGTGATGGAGCAGTTTCAAGACACGGAACTATGGAGTGCTTTGGAAGAGGTGCAGCTGAAAAGTCTTGTAGAAAATTTGAAAGGTCAGTTAGATCATGAATTATTGGAGAACGGTGCAAATTTAAGTGTTGGAGAAGGGCAACTTATCTGCTTGGCTAGGGTGTTTTTGCACCAAAAGAAAATCATCATTTTGGATGAGCCCACAGCACATGTGGATCCAGAAACAGAGCAAAAAATCTGGAACATAGTGCGCGAGAAATTGAAAAACTCCACCGTTATCACTGTTGCACATCGTTTGAACACAATACGAGACTATGACAAGATTTTAGTTTTAAGGAATGGGCAGGTCGATGGGTTTGATAGTTTTGATGTAGTAATGAAGAATAGAAATGGAGGCTCAATTTCCGATTGAAATGGACCAGCGCCCCGTTTCTCGAAATTCCCGACAATGAACGGGCCTGGGACTCGTTTCTCGAAAGTCCGGCTAACTTTTCGTGCGCCAACCTCGTCCCCAGGATGCTTTTCTCCAAGGCCAGGGAAAAGCGCCCTGGGGACGAGGTTGTTCGTGCGCGAATAGGTGTTCTATGTTTGCCGTATATTTGCATTCAACTTCAAAGTTTCGTTAATTTTGAAAATGATACAATAGAACTATCAGTTAAAGAAGCAAAATTGACGGGTTTGTGAGCTAGGGACTCTTATTATTCCACAGGTTTTGATTTTAAAATGTGCCTTCGGACCTGAAACGTTACCGGGTCTTTCGAGAAAGAGGGCCCCCTGGAAAGTTGTTGTTTACATTCAAGTTCGCGGTTTCAAAAGTTTTGAAGATTATATGATAAAACTGTCAGTTAGCAAAACAAAAAGGGCTGGTTTGTTTTTATTCGCGTTTTTATTCTTAAGATTTGATTTTGGGCCCGAAAAGTTACCGATACTTTCAAGAAACGGCAGGTAGTAAAAGCCGCCGCATAGACCTGTCCTAAATGCACATGGTTGCAGTGACACAAGGACGTTTTTATTGCCATGGTAGCGTTAGATAGATCCGGGGGGACACTCAGGGGAAGTTTGGGTAGAAGTTTGCCGCCGAGGCCTCCAAACTCTGACACCATTTCCCGGGGGGAGTACTCCCTTATGTAAGCTATATAGCTATATAGCTGGAATCGGGCATGGTTTTCGAGGAAACCTACGGGAGTGTATGAACGTATTTATCGTTTCAATTCCAGATGAATAAGAAAGAAAGAAAAATATGCGATTTATGCTCCATGTTCCTTTAGATAGTATTATTGAGTCAGTTATTGCTGTTGGTGGAGTCTCGCTTTGGGTGAGCTCTGTTTGCTGGGATACCCAATAATGACAATTCCAGTTTGAGATAAATTTGGCCACAAGAGTGGCCGTTTATTTCATTTAAGCATATCAAGCTAGGAAAGTCCAGATACACAAGAAGATTTATCCCAGCAAAGGTGAGGGCACACCCGCCACAGCCCGGAGCAAGAAACGAGTGACAGGGCAGCCCCACC